GAGCCCCTCCCTAGTGCCCTCCATGATGAAGAACTCACAGAGAATGCTGTGGTCTCTGAAAAGATCATGACAGAGACGACAAAACAGAAGTCACGCTGGAAAAGATTCCGCCACTTTCTGGGACTGAGAAAACCACAGAAGTGGAAGAAATAAAACCAAACCCGTTTCACATCAGATATTTAAATTAGAATCATTGGACAAGTCAAAAGGCTGCTGTTAAAACTGTCTAAAAAAAAAAATTAATCAATTTGGCCAGATGTTTTACTAAATCACATGACAGGGCCGTCACATGTAGTGACAGATGTCATGTAATTTAGGAAAGAAAACAAATTAATCAGGGCAGCACAGTGGCGCAGTGGTTAGCACTGTTGCCTCACAGGCCGGGCCGACCAGGGGCCTTTCTGTGTGGAGTCTGCATGTTCTCCCTGTGCCTGCGTGGGTTTTCTCCGGGCGCTCCGGTTTCCTCCCACATACCAAAGACATGCAGCTTAGGTTGATTGGAGACTCTAAATTGCCCCTAGGAGTAAATGTGAGTGGTTGTTTGCCTATGTGTCATGTAATTTAGTAACACCCAAATTAATTACCTGTGGTTATTAATTACTCCAACTTTTAAAATCTCAATAAAATTCCTAAAAAGGTTAAACTTTCTCTATTGAGTCAGTTTTGTTGTTATTAATATTCTTATGGCTTCAGTATGGGTTTACACTTTTGAGTAGTGATGTTTAAAGCTGTGTATGATGGGTAACACTATAATACAAATAATTTAAGTATTCTGTTTGGGTTTTTTAAACCCAGTTTCACTTTTTATCTAAAGAAAAAAAGATACTAGTAATTATTTTTTCAAGCTCAGACTCAATGGCCTTGGCTCATTTTGTGTGAAGAACATATATCAGAACGCATTTTCAAAAACCACACACTGCATTTTACATGCGTACTTTGGGTTTCTTTTCCTTGCTGGAGTTTTCAGGTCCAGAGGGGAATCCACACAATCCCTGTGGACTGCAGAAACTGGCAGAGAAATATTCTGGGCAACAATGTCTTTAGAAAAATTCCAAATAATTTCCAGGGTTATCGGCTTTGCTACACAAGACGACAGACCAGCTTGACGGCAGAGAGACAAGCTAGCTGCCATCAGGACAGTGTGGGACAAGTGGGTGCACCGCCTCCCCCTGTTTTACAACCCTGGGCCTGATGTCACCGTTGATGAGCAGCTGATGCCATTTAGGGGCCACTGCCCCTTTAGGCAGTATATGCCACCCAAACCAGCAAAATATGGCATAAAGATCTGGGCTGCCTGTGATGCCGCAACCTCGTATGCTTGGAACTTACAAGTCTACACAGGGAAACCTGACGGAGGAGCCCCAGAGATAAATCAAGGGATGAGAGTTGTCCTGGACCTGACTCAGAAGCTCAGTGGACACAATATCGTGTGCAACAATTACCTCACACAAGCTGGGACAGGAGCTCCTGAAGAGGAAGCTGACCATGGTGGGAACTTTTCACAAAAACAAGTCTGAGTTTACAAAGGACAGGGCTGTGAAGTCTTCCAAGTTTGTGTACATGGCTGACACATCCCTGGTGTCCTATGTGCCAAAGAAAGGCAAGAATGTTGTTCTGATGAGTACACTGCACAGGGATCGGAAAATCTGTGGCCAAAAACCACAGATCATGTGATGTATAGGTTTGTCTGTGTTCAATGGGGCTGTGTTGTGTAGACCAAAATGGTTAGTGTGTGTTCAGCTTGTGCTGTGGAAACTGTCCTGAATGTTTGAAATTACTGAGGTTTAAATAAAAATCAGCAGTTGTGAAAAATCTTGGTTCATTTGTAAATTTGTTGTATTTTCCCCCAATCGTCTAACAAAAAATTAGCATAACACAGTTTTAACCCCTATGTAATGTAAGCTAACAAAGGTAAAGGGCAAATGTAAACATTTGTTGATTATTAGAGTTGGTTATTGCATTGTTTTAGATTAGAATTCTTTGATTATGTTGAGTTACAAAGCCAAAAGATGATGCAGGTGCAGGACACCCGTGAACAGAACACCACCAGTGTAAACTAAACATGAACAGAACAGCAGGGTTAAATAAAAGAAATGCTTTTACCATTTTGACTCTCAATGTACTTCCAGTTCAGTGCAAATGAGCTCTGCTGGGGATACCTGGTACTGTTCTTCTTGTACCTCTTGTACTCTTTAGAGAAGGGGATTTGTTTCTCATGTCATATACAAGAAGTAAAGATGGGTGACAATTAACATGAAAAACCCACCATGCAGCTTCACTGCTCCTATTTGAAGAATGAACATCTTTCTTCCCAAATGTTCCCTCATTTAGTGTTTTGAAGAAGTTGCTCAGCATTTTCAAATACAGTATATAAGCTAGTCATTCATGTGAAGTTTGACTTTTACATCTTTGACTGACTGGAGCTTTCAAAACAATATTAAAAACTTTTGAACTTGCAAGATAAAAACAATACAATCTACCTTCATGAATAAGTCAATGCAAAGAAACAACCTTGCTAATGCTGTTTATTCATCATTATCATGAGATAAACAAGAATAAATACGAGAATACCAAAGAATTTGTGAGTTTTCTGGAAAAAGTGGTGTGTTATCTGACGGAAATGCAGGGGTGTCAACATTTTGCCCCTGACTGTATTAGTTTCTCCTATAGGATAACATCGTTGTCATTTGAAGTAGAAACACTGTGTTTCTTCTACAAGTTTTCTGTATCTGACTCAGTCAAATGGTGTTTACATTGTTGCTGTGAGCATGGTGCATGAATGTGAGTGAAATTCTTACCTGTAGTGTCCACGAACAACCCCATACTCAAACATGTTGCGATATCTCACAAATATCGGAATAAAACTTGTAGTTATAGGAAATTTATTCTTACGTGCCACACATTATACCATTACGCATTGACATGCCGGTTAACTTTGTGATTCAGGAAGTGACACTGATTGTCCTCCTCAGTCTCAGCTGCTCATTAATCAGTACAGCGCTGTGCGACATATCGGCAGTGTTGACGGCATTTGACTTGTCTCCGTCAACACAACAATGGCGGACGCCGCGTTAGATCCTCTTCAGGGCAGCTGGTGAGGCAATCTGTTATCGGATCAACATTATACGAGGCTTTTTCTCTGTTGTCAGACAGCTCTGTCGGTTTCTTCTAAACCTATTTAACGTAAAGTAGCTCAAATGATTTTACGTAGTTAATCTACTGTGTTGACGATGGACGCTGGACTTAAATCATTTTGGTACCGTTACTGCTCGGCAGCTAGCCAGCTAATGTTAATTAGCCAAGTTGGTTGTGATAAATTGTCTGGCCAGTCATTTACACGGCCACAAATAACAATACTGCTTGTGAGAATGATCAGCTGGATTATTTAATTTTAATTTAGTTGTGTCTCTCCCTCGCATTGACAAGTGTTTATCCTGAGCCTGCTAGCCAGCGAGCTAACTAGCTAGTTCGCCGGTGTTTGTCGAGTTAACTCGAGTTCTGTTTAACCAGAATCACATTTAGCTCTAACTCTAACAATAGTCTGTTCTCATGCGATCTAAATTCACATATAATCATGATACAGGACACAGGTGACCTTATGGTCTTCTCATAAATGTATTGCAGTTGTAAATAAAAACCAAAAACAGCCCACTGGTAGAAGGGCTGGACGATATGGAGTTTAAGTGTCGCCATAAAAAGATATCCCTATCTTTGTGTCATGACACAGTATCTGATTGTAATGGAAAATCACCTTTAATATTTTGAGTCTGATGTTCATCACGTTTCACTAAAATTGAAAATACCATTGTTTATAAAGCGTCATGTTTAATACAAGCGCAGATATAGTGACCAGAGACCAAATTTATGGTTTAAAATTACTTGGTTTGTCCGACAAACGTATATAAACCTCAAGGTATTTAATTTACAGTTATGTTACACAGAGAAAAGCACACATATGAAAAGTTGTAACCATTCAGTGTGATCTCATTTTACCTGAGAGGTCACTTAAAGGACTCATGAAAATACCTGTTCGTTTTTTTTTGTTGTTGTTATTGTTGTCTATATAGTTAAGCCACTAATGTTGTTGTTGTTGTCTATATAGTTAAGCCACTAATTTCAGCTCTACAACACTGTGAACATTATTCACAGCATAAATGAACATGACTATATACATGTTGTTTCTGCGAAAGATGATGAATGATAAACATTCATACGATACCCAGACTTTTCTGTGGTGACTTAACACTATTATTCTCTATTGATATTTTCCACCCCAAAGAAGTCGTATTGTTACATGGTGATGGTGAGCTGAATTTGTACTGTGTACAGCATTGTAATGTTGTGTTGCCTGTGCCTCCTCAGGGACCAGGATCTGGCTGAGGCTCTGGACTCAGGCAGCTCCGACATGGAGATGGAGAGAAGCGTCATCCATGTCCAGGAGCGATCGGCTCAAAATAAGGCCAAGATGTGGAAGGTGAGGAGGTTGGCAGGAGTCAGGTTACACAAAAAGAAAAGGACTCCCTATTACCAAAATCAGTTTCACCTATAATGCAACTGTTACTGTAGTTTAAAACATGCATTTGTAAGAGGTGCTCATCAGCAAGGAGCAAGATGTTGTGTATGAGTAAAAGCCAGTACTGCTTCTATTATTAGAGTTCATGTCCTGTAAAGATGGGACCCACATCAGACAGAAGTCAACATACCGGAAAGACCTGCATCTCATGCTCCAGTGATGTAAAGCTGTCATCTTTTCATGCCACACCCACGTGTTAGGCTTTAGTTCAACATATTGTTATAATGAAGCATGTGAATGAGTGATGATATGATTTCGTGACACCAGTACATCTCTACTAGTCAGTACTTTAACTGTGGTATGAAAATGCACCTCATGATGATGAAACACTGTGCTTGTTTATTAGGTTCACAGATGCCACACTGTTGTTGGCTATGCATGTTAAATGTCACTGAAAAGAGGCATGATTTACTGCAACTTTACTGTTAAGCTACTTTGAATAAGCTGTCTGCATAGTGTTCATGCAGACATGGGGTGAGAGGTCTGTTTACTTTTTTTTAAGCAGTTACATTTTTATATGGTTTTATTTCATATGTTATGTTTTTTTTATTGCTTTACCGACTGGAGGTCACTTTAAAATTTCGTTGTACGTGTTACAATGACAATAAAGGATTATCTTATCTTATCTTATCTAATACACATTCAATTTAAAGGAAAATAAGAGGGACTGTAGTTAGTATATTGGTTCTTATATGGTCAGGTCAGTACCCGTCAAAGTAAAATGAAATATTTAAAAACCCAATACATGGCATTATATCATTCACTTTGTTCTTAGGAATTAATGGGAGACACACATAACAGCCAAAAAGAAATGTGATGCCTGCTGTAATGTTAATACTGTCCAACTTGACAAAAACACAGTTTGATATGTGCTGAGTTGGTATATAAATGGTAACCTACCATTTTTTTCCAAGAATACCATCCAGCATTTCTAATTTTGTTAATCTGATATATCGTCAACAATTTCTGTGCCTCTTAGTTTATTTTGTTAAAAGAACATTGTTTAGATTGCAGGTTTTTAAGTCTCTGAATAGTCCACAAGTAATATCCGTCAGTAGATTAGTAATTCATTAGTGGAGCCTCATTCAAGTCGGATCAGTTTTTGATGCGTGTTTATCAAGTGTCCCTTTATCACTCAGTAGCTGCATGTTTAGCAGTGAATCCTTGTTCTATGTTGGCAGATCGCTCTAAATGTCTCCGGTAAAGGAGACAGCTTGTCTCCCTGGGATGGCGTCCTCGATTTACCAGAACAGACGCTCATTCACAACCGCAGCCAACAGCTGATTGGTGAGTAGATGCTTGTGTCTCTGATTCACTAACACCATGCTGATTTTTGGAATTGCAGCAAAGAAAGTTCATAGTTGGCACCCAGTCTTGACCAAAATGACACTTTTTGTGGAGGTCCAGGATGTGAATCCCCTCAATGAAAAGTATCGTACAAAACTGAATTTAGAATACAAATATTATTGGGTTAATATTGCTCTGAAGTTGCATTGTATAGAAGAGGATTAACCCCGAGGGAGAAATGGTCTGAATTTAGCTTTGTTGATGAGCTCCCAGTTAAACTAGTAGCTGTCTGAGCACAAAATGTGAAATAAAGAGTATTTCATTGATACATAGTTACCAAAACATCATCAGGATTGATTTTCCAGCACCTTCTTCTTAGTGTGTTTCTCAAGTTGAGTCACTAGATTGGACACATGCACACACCTGCATGCCAGTATCTAAAGATGATTCTTAGGAGCAGATGACTTTTATTAGTCTGCTCTTCTGACAGGTTGACAACAAGATCTAGTACAGCTCAAAATAGAAAGCCTCTTATGAGAATAATGCCCAGAAGAAGTGCTCTTTTGATGTAGATATTAATAACCAGGTTTTGTTATACTGAGTAGTTTTTATTTGTCTGTGGATATTCCACATTCCTTTCTTCTACTTTGGCTCCCATGTTTAGACCAGCTGGGAGTATCAGAGGAAGAGAAGAACGATATGGCATCTGACGTCGAGTCGGTCATCACTTTCTACTGCAAGTCCCGCAACATCACCTTCACCCCTGAGCTGAGCTGGCCGCACCTGCTAAAACCGCTACTGGGTCTTCACCTTCCCCGCAGCGACCTCTACAACTGCTTCTATGCCATCATGAACAAATACATCCCCAGGTGAGTCATTCCAACTTTGTTGTCCTTTTCATTCTACTGACACAGAGATGCAAAAATTAATTGTAATGACAAATATGTCCATTTCAGGGACTGCGTGCCAAATGGTCGACCCTTCCACCTGTACAGACTACTGCTACAGTACCATGAGCCAGAGCTCTGCTCCTTTTTGGACACCAAAAAGATCACACCTGACTCCTACGCCATCAACTGGGTTTGTAGTTTTTCCTCACATTCATGTCACATGTTATTGCCTGGTGATTCAGACAGTTAATATGTACTGCACAGACAGGTGAAAAATGAAAGGACAAAGGGTCTCAGGGAGGTGTTGGGCCACCAGAACAGCTTCAGTGCACCTTAACATGGACACCATCCTTCCAGAAGATATTCCCTCATGTGGTGTTTTGATGATGGTGGTGGAGACGTAACACGTCGCTCTACAGTCTCCCATAGATGTTCAGCTGGGGTTGAGATCTAGTGGCTGTGAAGGCCACAACATATGATTTCACATCATTTTCATATTCATCAAAGCATTCCTTGTGTACTGTTGATGGAGCATTGTCATCCTGGAAAAGACCACTCAGTTATTCAGGGTTTTCCTTTCATTTGTATGTGGCCATGTCTGAACGATCATGGCTGCGTTTGTCTTTCCTCTGTAGCTGGGCAGTCTGTTTTCCAGCCACTGCCTTCCTGATGTTACCCAGGCCTTGTGGGACTACTACCTCCAGCAGGCCGACCCTTTCCTCATCTTCTTCCTCATGCTCATCATCCTCGTCAATGCCAAGTAGGCTGCCACTAGTAGAAGCCATACAGGAATGTGATCATACTAAGGAACTGTAAATATAGACTTGATTTGTCTTTTTGATTCACCCTCAGAGAGACCATCCTTGCACAAGAAGGAGATAACAAAGAGGACATCGTCAGTAAGTTCAGCTTCCCATCTGTTAATTTGTGGATTTGCTCCATATTTTGTTAACCAGGAGAAATGAATGAAGCTTTTTCTGTCACAGAAATGCTAGAAGCATTCCCTTCCCTCTTGGAATCAGAAGACATTGAAGATTTGTTTTCTCTGGCTCAGTATTACCAGAGCAAAACCCCTTTGTCGCTCAGAAAGGTAAGAGCATGCTTGCAAATAAATAATCTTGTCTTTGATACACACAGAGCAGTGTTCAGTAGAGCCAAGACTGAAAGCTAACAAAGGGATAAAGGAATGTTATGTGTTTGTGTTTTCCACCCTGGTAGATGAACCAGAATCTGTTTGGTAGCAGCTTAGTGGCCCTGAAAGAGGAGGACACTAACCTGAGTCAGGCGCTGTGTCTCCCTGTGTCTGTCCCTGAGATCCTGCAGGCCAACCAGCTCCAACAGGTCAGCAGTGCTCTGAGGTTATTTGGAGCCGATTTTAACAAACAAGGAAATGATTGACCTTTCACAAGTTATCCATGTGAGAATCAGGAGAGGAAATATCGAGCAATGAGATTAAAAGTGACTTTTGCTTTTTAGGAGGGGGTACGTTTCTTTGTGGTGGATTGTCGACCCGCAGAGCAATATAATGCTGGGCACCTGTCTACAGCCTTCCACTTGGACTCTGATCTGGTGAGAGAGGGACAGCACTGATTCTTAGTGTGTATGGAGTATGTATATGTATATGGAGTCTTACGTGTGTTCCTTCCTTTCCACAGATGCTCCAGAATCCATCTGAGTTTGCTCTCTCTGTGAAATCCTTGTTGGAGGCACAGAAACAGTCGTTAGAATCGGGCTCCATCGCCAGCGGCGAGCACTTGTGCTTCATGGGCAGCGGGAGGGAGGAGGAGGACATGTACATGAACATGGTGTTGGCCCACTTCCTGCAGGTGATCCACATGGAAAGAGAGGGATAAGATGGTAGCTGGACAGAAACAGGATGGCAGCATGTCAGACCACCACGTTAAGCAACAATTTGTTACATAATCTGTATTTCCCAGTGTATGTGCTCTTCTCTAACTGGTTGGCTAATGAAAGGCTTTGTTTCTTTTACAGAAAAACAAAGAATATGTCAGCATTGCTAAAGGAGGTTTCATGGGTAAGTAGATGAGACACCAGGGCCAGGTATACAGTACAAGTGTGTGTAGATTCACAACTAAAACAGAGAAAAATATGCCAATACATTTTCATCAGATTTCTAAAACATCTGGCCCCTGGTCACAAATGTGGGTAGGAATTTAAAAACTCACTGAGATTTGTGTGATTTTTGTTTTTTAAAGCCCTCCAGCAGCATCTGGTAGACATGAACATTGAGGGTCTCGACTCCTCATATGTGCACTGGATTGTCAGCACATCGGGCTCTCACAGCAGCCTCTGCTCTGCTGATGTAAGTGGCCAGAGAACAGACAGTTTCATAGGAAGAACCTCACTGACACCCCATGCTCCAGGTTTGGCATTTTGAATACAAAGTTGTTCTTAACCTGGATTGTTTTCCTTTTGCTGGTGATACAGGGAGAGTCTCTGAGCAGCCCTGGAGACAGCAAAGGTGTTAAGTCTTTGGTCAACAAAATGACGTTTGCTCTCAAGTCCAAGTCAGTGAACGTAAAGGAGAAGATGATCAGTTTCATTGAGAATACCTCCACCCCTGTAGACAGGTGAGGACCCAGTTCCCCCCTCTATAGTAAAATCGAGCAGTATTCCTCTGTGGAGCACAAACTACAACACTCTATTTATTCTTTGTTACTGATGTAAAAATGGAGCTTTACACTTGAACATATGAGCAAATGTGAAAATGTTTTGGACAAACTTCAGCTGCCTTTCAAGATATGGATTAAACATGTAGAGTGAGTGGACTATTAAGTCAGAGAACTGAGGTCGTTTTGGCAATTGACAGCTTCTTGTGTTTCAACTTAATGCAAGTTCATCAAACATTGTGCCTTATTTCACACTAGAATATCTTTCAATCTACCCTGGCCAGAGAAGGTGGTTCCAGATCGGTAAGAGCTCTCTGCCATCAAATCGTCTGCCACCAGCATGCCCACTGACATTACTCACAGCAGTCCCCGGGATTGTCGGAGACGTAGCCTCTGTCACATTAACGCATGCTTAGTACCAGCATCTTCACCTGCACTGCTGACTCATATAATAACACTACACATGTTGAGGACCTGCCTTCATGCTTTCACTAACATGTACCTGCTGTATAGTGTGCGATGTTAGAGCTGCTGTGGCCTTCCAGGAAGTATTCAGTCAGCTTGACGCCCACAACTCTTAACTCTTTTCAGTCTGAATCGCTCAGGCACTGAGAGCCTGGAGATGCACTTCACAGTTCCATTTCATTGTTGTTCTTTTAGATGATAACCAGGGCTATGCAGAATGTTGAATCCACCGCCAAATGCCTTTTCACTGCAAATAGCCCTGAATATCATACAAAAACTAACCATCACCTCTAGGTATCCAGTGTCTCATTTAACCTCTTTCTTTGTATGTAACAGCACAACCTATGGGAGTAATGGGCTAAGAATTTCTACTGCAGTCTGGAGATCTCCATGCCATTGCTACTTGCAAACACACTTATGTGTATATAATGTGACTTTTCACCACAGGCATCGTTTTCATACATATATATATATATATATATACACACACACACATAATATAATATAATATAATACACACACACATACAGTCAAGCCCGAAATTATTCATACCCCTGGCAAATTCCGACTTAAAGTTACTTTTATTCAACCAGTATTTTTTGACAGGAAATGAAACAGGCGTCTCCCAAAAGATAATAATACGATGTACAAGAGGCATCATTGTGGAAAAAAATATTTCTCTGCCTTTATTTACATTTGAACAAGAAGTGGCATGTCCAAAATTATTCATACTGTAAAACCACCAGTTACCGTCCTCAGAACACATACCCTTCTCAATAATCAATAGAAAAGCCTTTATTGGCTATTACAGCAATCAAACGCTTCCTATAATTGCTGACCAGCTTTTTGCATGTCTCCACTGGTATTTTTGCCCATTCATCTTTAGCCTCCAACTCTTTCAGGTTGGAGGGTCTCCTTGCCATCACCCTCAGCTTTAGCTCCCTCCACAGATTCTTAATTGGATTCAAGTCAGGACTCTGGCTGGGCCACTGCAAAACGTTAATGTTTTTGTCTGCTAACCATTTCTTCACCACTTTTGCTGTGTGTTTTGGGTCGTTGTCGTGCTGAAATGTCCACTGGTGCCCAGATTCATCAGGATGGCCTTGGTGGTGATCCTTGGATTCTTTTTTTTTTACCTCTCTCACTATCCTCCTGGCCAGCACAGGTGCCACTTTTGGCTTCCGACCACGTCCTCTGAGATTGTTCACCGTCCTGTATTTTGTAATAATACTTTGCACTGTAGCCACTGGAACGTCAAAACATTTAGATATGGTCATATAGCCCTTTCCTGACTTATGAGCAGCCGCAGGTCCTCAGTGAGCTCCTTTGTCTTAGCCATGACTGTCCACAAACCAGCAGCAGAGAGCTTCTTTTTTTTCACCTGTTGAGTTGATTAAAACAGCTGTTCCCAATGAATCACTGTAATTAGGATCCTTTAGAACAGTTTGGACTATTTTGAATGGTATAGAACTTTGGATTTTCCCATAGACTGTGACAGTTTGCAAAGGGTTTGGACATTTTGGACATGCCACTTTTTGTTCAAATGTAAATAAAAGCTGAGAAATATTTTTTTCCACAGTGATGCCTCTTGTACATCGTATTATTCTCTTTTGGGAGACGCCTGTTTGTAAAACCACCAGTTACCGTCCTCAGAACACATACCCTTCTCAATAATCAATAGAAAAGCCTTTATTGGCTATTACAGCAATCAAACGCTTCCTATAATTGCTGACCAGCTTTTTGCATGTCTCCACTGGTATTTTTGCCCATTCATCTTTAGCGATGAGCTCCAACTCTTTCAGGTTGGAGGGTCTCCTTGCCATCACCCTCAGCTTTAGCTCCCTCCACAGATTCTCAATTGGATTCAAGTCAGGACTCTGGCTGGGCCACTGCAAAACATTAATGTTTTTGTCTGCTAACCATTTCTTCACCACTTTTGCTGTGTGTTTTGGGTCGTTGTCATGCTGAAATGTCCACTGGTGCCCAAGGCCAAGTTTCTCTGCAGACTGCCTGATGTTGTTGTTGAGAATTT